GTCGCGAATGGCCTTCCCGCCTTCGGAGGAATCCAGGTCGCAGTTGACGTCACGCTTGTGAGCCCTCTCCGGCGTGGCGGCGGCAGCCGGCCACGGGCTGACTCCGAGCCTGGCCTCGCCTTACGGAGGCGCCACTCACCCCGAGTTCCAGGGGGCGCGGCGTTGCCGCCTCATCGTTTTCGCTGCAGAAGTTGGCGGCCGCTGGGGAGAGGAGGCGGAGGCTTTCCTGCAAAAGCTCGCCTGTGGCCGGGAACTCGCCAGCCCCCCGGCGCAGCGCGTTGGAAGAAACACCGACTTCGGCAACTTCGACTTCGGCAACCTACATCGACAGCGTGATCAAAGAGTCTGGAATGACCAACTGCAACACAATGACCATTCCAGGAATCGCCCACTACAAACCAACAATGGAGGATGAAGCACTTCTTGACCACGAACAACACGGAAGGATTGTTTGCAAACTTCAATGGTTAGCATACACACGACCAGACATCGCACACTGTGCAAACAGCACCTGCGATTTTTCACCGAAGAAAGTCAAACATTTACTACGCAACTTGCACGGCACCAAGCACTACAAATTCACCATGAAACCAACAACAACACTCAGAGCAAACACCAACAACATCCTGGCTCTCGACGTTCATGTCGATGCCGACTGGGCAGGATTCCCTACTACCAGGAAACCAATTCCAGGTTTCAACATCATTTTTTAGGAACAATGATTGCATTTGGCAGCAGAACCATAGCACTCAGCTCAGCAGAGTCTGAACTCTACGCCGTTTGCACCGGAGTTAATGGGGGACTACACCTCACAAACTTCCTACTTGAAACCAACATTTGCAGCAAGCTAAACCTACGCATCCACACAGACTCCACAGCAGGCAAGAGCATTGCTACACGACAAGGCACTAGCAAACGAGCAAAGCACATCGACCTCAAATTTCTCTACGCACAAGACCTCATCAAACACGACATCGTCAGAATCCGTAAGATCAACACACTTCACAACAGCGTAGATTTGTTTACCAAATACATCAGCAAATAAACACTACACAGACTCATCCAGAGCATTAGGATACGCATTTTGTGTTCCACTGCAGCCATGGCCGCTCCGTCTACTGCCGATGCTACGATGGGAGATGCGACTACGCCTGACAGGGCGACTACACCTGAGGTGGCGGTCACCACAGTCTCCAGTGACCAATGAACTCCACCCCCTCAGACAACGAGTCCAACTACCGCTTCAATCCCTCCACGCCCGGCAACGTGGCTTACTACAACCCTACCAGACAACCACTACTCCACCACTGCCTGACAACACACCCTACACTCAGTTTTTCATAGCACGTACACTGGAATAGTATCAACCACTCTCAGAACAACAAGAAACTCCATTTTCACACCTAGACTACACACGACCCATTCAATCCTTGGAGACCTCCGGATGCCACACTGCGATTCCACACTGCTCAACGCTTCACTACCTGAAGCCGCCAACGTCCACTACTACGACACAACTTCACTACACACTACCACTGGCAACAACACCAACTACGTCATCATCATTTTCCTCCACTTCACCAAAGACTACATTTCCTACATGATGTCAGTACAACAGAACTACTACCTCCCAACTATACTACATCCACAGAGAATCTACAAGGCACCAACAACTACAGCCTGAGGAATAACTATATTTGCAACTATCACACGCCACTACTTCCACCGGAACTACTCCACTACCTCTACCACCGCGACCAACTCCACGTCTTTCAACACAAAGCCATTACTACCATCCTCTGCAAGACATCCAGGACTACAGTTTCACACTACTCACCATGACCAACCTTACCCAACACCACAAGGCACTACTACATCGTTCCCTTAGGGACTACGACCAACATATGTCGTGCCCTGAGGTCGACAAACTACATGACAACCTTTTTCACCACCCACTACTGGACAGTCGACTACAGATCGCCCAAGCCTACCGCTGGGCGCCACATGCTTCAGCGCCTGCTCTACCACAATGAGTAACTGCCCCACGAATCCAGCGCCACTACATCAAGCTGGAACATGAACAGTGCAAGCTACTACCTTTTTCTGACCACCGTAGAATTGAACAACAATGGTTTTCATCACTACTGTCAATCCATGTTTTGCACTTCAGTTGCAAAGGTATTACAAAGACCTTTTAATTGAGGGGCCGTGTCAAACTACATGCTTCACTTCCTGCATTCGTGTTGCATGTATGTTCACTACTGCAGGCCTTGAGCTCACTACATCGCATGAGCCAAAAGGTTGGCAGCTGCAGACTACATTGGTTGACTGTTTGTTAAGCCAGGCAAGTCTGGCAGAACTTGCGTGGCGGGCAAGTCGGACGGACCAGGAAAGTCCGGGAAACCTGGCAAGCCAAAGCTGCCAAACGCTCCTGGTCGCAGCGCTCCACAATCCGGGCCCGCGTTGGCGAGCGCGGGCGCTCGCGCGACAAGCTTGGGGTTTGGATCTGTAAACGTCAGCAAGGTCCGCGGCCGCGAGGCGGGAAAGCCCGTCGGGGCGGGATGGAAGTGCGGGCCGCAGTGGCGCAGCTGCACCAGAGCACTTGCTTCCGGCGCCACTTGAGTTCGACAAGGCGTCCCTCGACCTGTATGCGCACTGCGCGGCAACTATTCCTCACCGCAAGGCTCTGTGCAAAGCGGACGCGCTGGAGGCTTTTCAGCGCCAATAATTCTGTGAAACTTGCGGGGCGGCTGCGTGGCAGATTTCGCGCGCGGACGGCAATCCTTGACTGCGACAGAGGCTGGCTGGCAGCCGTTGGGCGCGGCTACGGCGAGTCTCGCCTGCACCAGTGGCGCGGCGCTGGGCCCATGCGAAGCCAGGCTGCAGCCCGCATGGTGCAGCGTGTCAGCATGGGGCGTTCCACACAGATGCGCGCAGACTGAGGAGGGCTGCAGCCAGGTGCTAGGCAGGGACAATGGGATGCAGATGCTGCACGAGGCTCTGCTGGCGCGGCTGCCGCTGCCTTGGGTGGCGCAGCTTCTGCCGGGTGGGAGCACAGCACACGGAGCACGCCTGCTGCACAAGGCGCGGACGCGCGGCAGGTGAAGCGAGCAGCGCGGCTGCAGCAGGCCTACGGCGTTCTAGGCTCTAGGGTTTCCGAAAACCCCCTCGCCTGCCTGTGTGTTCCGACACATGCGGAGTTGGGGCATGGTGCTGACACGCAGCAGAGCAGCATCTAGCTGACGCGTGTAACGCTTTCGGCGGGATGCTCGCCGCACCGGACTGGCCTGGTGGAGCGGTGATCTCCCACTGCGGCTGAGCGTGCGGAGCGGCGATAGCTGCCGCGTCTCACGCTTTCGGCGCGACGCAGCACCGTGCGTGGGCCTTTCTGGTTGGTGGAGCAGCGATCTACCCCTGCGGCTGGGCGCGCTGAGCGGGGGCTGGCACACGGCGTGCTGGCGCTTGGGCGGAGGGCGCAAGAACGCCGACATGTCTCACACAGCGGCAGCTAGCCAACGCGTCTCACGGACGCGTCTCACGCGTTTGTCTCGCCACACGCGCGGCACAGAACCAGGGGCAAGCACTGACCTGCAAAGAGGGAACAGCGCCTAGTATGACTTGAAGTTGAGTGTTCAAGTGGTGTCGGCGAGACCTAAGCCCACAAGGGAGGGGTTGGGTCTGTGTAGAGGCCTGGTTGGCATGATGAATGTTTGCACGCCCAGACCAGATGTCGCGAACTTGTCCCGGGGAAAGTGCTGCGCAAAAGGAGGCAAATGGAGATCCTAGAAGAAAAAAGAAAAACTGTTTTGACTAGATGTTGCTCACCTTGCGATTCGCTCCATGTGAAGTAGTTTTTCGCCAGCAGGCAAAGCACTCGCCTGTGAAGGCGATCCGCATTGTCATTTTGCGCATATGACGGTCCACGCTAAGCGTTTTTGGGGGAGGGAGCACGGTCAAGGTAGCCAGGCGAGGCTTGCCAATTGTTGGCCCCAGTTGTTCGTCGCAAGCAAGTTGCATTTTTTGGAACCAAACTGTGTAGGCACGAATTGCGCCAACGGTGTTGTTCGCCAGACTGCGTGTAGTTTCATTCACGTGTCAAAGGAATTTGGAGCGGCACAGGCCGTACCGGGAGATCGGTAGGTGTTAAGAGACGAATTTGTTGAAGTAGGGCGAGCCCAGTTTGGGCAAATGGTTTCATACCAAGGAGGACTGGACCATCTAATTTCACACCACGAGTTCGCGCTCCTTATAGAGCAGAGACTCTGAAGAGAAAGGCGTTTGCAGAGGTAGCTTCCCCATTTCATCCTGCCACACTTGTTCGTGATGCCCTTGTGTTGGTGCGAAGTAGAAGAGGCACATGCACAGACCACGTGGTGTAACATCGCACGGCGCTCGGACCAGAATTCGGCCGACGCGCCGTAGCTGCGCGGTCGTCCAGTTGACCAAAAAATAACTCGGCTGCGAAGGAGACGCTGCACACGGCGAGGCCGAGCAAACGCTGTACGCAGAAAACAGAGGAAGAATGGGCCGTGCTGACAAACATCCAAGAAACGCCGTAAAGGGGCTACATTGCTGGTCGTCCTTGCAGCCGCCGTCATGTTGCAGTTGTCGGTTGCAAACAGCTAGTTTATGCGAAAGAATTAGTTTTCCAACCCGCTCGCGAAATCATCAGGAGATTCTTTCATACACAGTTAAGGAACATACAGTAGCCGAAAAGTTTGCAGGCCAAATGATAGACAAAAACACATGTTTTATGGACAAACATGGTGTTAACATATAGATCGCTAACAATGTTTGAAGCGCAACCTCAACTTTTGCAGGCCAAACGTTTGACAAAGTTCTGAAATAGTTGTGGACAATTTCCTGTAGCCGAGCGGTTTCACAAGCCTTCGAGCCCGCCAGCAGGTTGATCAAAGCCAACGGCGGCGACAACACTGAGAGCAAGAATCTTCGGGCGCATCTTTCACCAGACTCGCTTGAGCTCACAGAACGAGTTCCACCTGACCAACTCGTGAGATTCCTCCTTCCCGAGCACCGCGTAACTCTCGGCCCACTCGCCTGCGCATGGGCTGGCTGGCTCGGAATTGGCACAATCCAGTCACGCGCTGTCTATTGCAAACACAAAGCTTGCTGCCCACATGTTCATCGTGCTTTGCATCGCGTCGCCTTCCCGCCTTCCCCGGCAAGGCGGCCCCCTCCGTGGCCGCAGCTGCCCCGCCGATTCTCCCGCCAGAGCGCGCCGATCCGGGCCGATGCAAGGGACGGCACCGAAGGCAGCACCGAAGGCACGGAGGCGACCCCGTCGACCCCGTCGACCCCGTCGACTCCAAGGCCTCCAAGGCTAAGGCCTACAAGGCCATCAGCCTCGTACCAGTCCCCGCGGCTGGGTTTCCACGCGCGGCTCGTGAGCAGAGACAGCGGAAGCAGCTCGAAGCACAGCAAACATGCCTAGGTCGTGGCAGCCAAAGCAAGGCACCGGAAAAACGATGAACAAGACAAAGAATGAAGTGTCAAAAGAATACTAATGACATTTTTGTTTAGAAAAAAAGAAGCTGGGCCCAACATGAGCTTGGACATCTAAAAGTGCAACTTGCGGGTTCGAAGACGTGCCTTTTCTTCCATTCCCTGAAAGCATTCCGAAATGTCCTCGGGGAATATGTTGATAAATCCAACCTACACTTCTCGTTTTCGGCGTGGGGATGCACCCCAAAGGGCCTAAACCGCAGCTGGAGCTGTGATATGGGGAGCCCCCACTCGAACAGCGCTTTTCCCGGGCGCGCTATTCGCAATCGGGGCAAAACTCGGGACACCTCACAAGGACCCCAGACCAGTTCCACTGTCGTCCTTGGGTTCCCGGACTCACCTGGCTTTTGAGTTCCAACTGACCTGACTGAATATTGGAATGGTAAACTTGCAAAAGCCCACTTTGCCACTCACCTTTCTGAGACGAGCTTTGAATAGCTTGCCGAACCGAAGCGTTTGGAGGGTGTCTCGCCGGTTTGTTCTTTCGTTTGCGAGAAACGGCTTTTTGTGGTTCCTTCTTATTTCCTTCAGCTTGGATTCATTCTTGCATTTTCCTCTCGTCTTTCCCTTCCGTCTCTCTTCTCTTCTCTTAAGCTCCTATCCTCTCAGCTCCTATCCTCTCAGCTCCTATCCTCTCAGCTCCTATCCTCTCAGCTCCTATCCTCTCAGCTCCTATCCTCTCAGCTCCTTTCCTCTCGTCGTTTCCTCTCGTCTTTTCCTCTCGTCTTTTCCTCTCGTCTTTTCCTCTCGTCTCAGCCCGGGCACGTTGCAGAGGGCGGCCTCGTCGGACTTCAGCAGATTTTGGCGCTGCACGAAGCTCATGGCCAAGCCCTGGAGGCACGTCACCGACACCAGCGCCTGCAAAAGGAAAGCGAAAAGAAGGAAGACAGAGGAAGACAAAGGAAGAGGAGATAAAGAAAGGAAAAGGAGAAAACACAAGGACGAATGACGACATGCGATGCGAGTTTGACACCAATAAACAAAAACCCAATGGGAAGTGTAGAATATGAGTGAAATTTAGCAAATTGAAGAATGGCCCTGCACTTCAATGGACTGAAACACCAAAAACTCAAGGGAAACGCAATTTGAGTTCTAGTGGTTGGCTCAAAATATAAGGCTTACAGTATAGTTTGAATGCGATTTTTGTTGAAAATTAAGTTTAGAGAATCAGGATTCAAATTGAATTCAAAGTAGAGTTCAACTAGCTCGGGCATAACGAAATTGATCAGAACTCGGCTTGGTTTGAGGCGCGTTTGACACACTCAGCTTGAGGCTGGGCTGATCGGATTTCGCTGGACTTTAAATTGGGGGAGGTCAATAGCTCTGGCTTGCGGTGGGTCTGGTCTGGTGGGAGTGTCGGTCCCTGACGCTGAAGGGTTGCCTGGCACTTGAAGGGGGTGGCAAGGCTACAATGAACCTGTCGGTTTGGGGTTTAGGCTTGAGTTCGCCAGGGTTACCCTTACGTCTTAAAGACGCTGAGTGTGCGGATCGATTGTGGGCCTTGCGCTTCCCGTGGGAAAATTCTAAGCGAAGCGCGCCCTGTGCTTCTTGGAGGCAGCGCTTCTCCTTGGGACCTGCGGTCCTTAGGCAGGTCCTGTTCAGACCGAAGGCTTGGCTCACACCGTCTGTCTCTCAGGGGGACGTTATCATGTGCTTGGCCTTATGCCTCTTGCGGGCTGCGCAGTGTTCCGCGGGCCCGCGTGCGCTTGGGGGCACACTCGCGCACCAAGTGCACGGGGAGAGAAACGTCTGGGATGAGTGTTGAAATGTATTGACAAAGAACTTAGAAAAGAACTTAGAATTCGAGACAGTGTGGTAATTGATCTCAGGCTTGAGCCTCGAAGTATGGAGTCCCCTGACCCGGACTCGAACTGGAAATGCCGATGCCATGTCCCCATCCGCCTTGACTCCAAGGAACTTAGGCAGTGGATCGAAACCTTGTAGTCGCAAGATCTCGTGGAAGCCATGTTCAATGGCGATTAAGCTTAGAATTGCCTTGGCTTTGAAGTCACACATGAAGTCAACGCTTCGTATTGGCACTCAGAGTGTCATGCACAGTGGAGCATTCAGGATGCTTTGTGTTCCGCCTGATGCGCCACGTCACAATCGTTGATGTCACAAAGGCTGCTCCGTCCATGTGGGGCAGCAGTTGACACGCCCACGGAGCTTTGTCACAAAGTTTGATGTGAAAGGGCTCATCTGCCAAGAATGTAATGGTAAGTGCAAACCTGGCAACGCACAGCCCGGGAGCCATGAGCATGGGTGGGAAATTGGGAAAGCCTTGCTTCTTTCCCCTTCTTGCCGCCGAAGTTCAATGATTTTACGGCACAGGTGTAGACAAAGATTTTCACGCCTTCAGGGCCCACAAATGTCTGGGGCAAACCAGACAAAACGCATCAGCTGACCAAAGACTTGATTTACACATAGATACTGCAGGTACACGCTCATTTGACCTCTAAGTTGCTGGCCGATACCCGTTGTGACTTCCAGTGGGCGGAACAGAAAGCGCTCGGGATCTCTGAAAATGCGGAGGTCCTCTTGCTTCAGCCGATCCAGGCTTGCAAGTGACGTTCGCAACAGTGGAATCTCTTGGCCTAAGATCTAGACTCCACGGAGCGCATCACGTCACACACGTTGCATACGTGGCATTCTCAAACCGCCTCAATCAAATGTTTAGCCAACTAAGTGGACTCCGTGGCGAAAACAGAGGGACAGGATGCATGAAAATCAGCAAGGCCGAAGCCTTCATTGAGCATTCGGGAGGCATGGCATGATTTCAATACATCAGACCTGTTCCTGAAATTCTGAACTATAGATCACACGAGGCTCGAGGTGAACTTCCGCCAGGCGCAAACTCAGACCTTGGACGACCTTGAGAGTCAAGCCACGGATCTGGCGTCGAATCCGCATGAGGCACAAGCGGCCAAAGTTGTAGAGGGCCCAGGCTTCGTACAAGTCTGCAAGCTCCAAGTTTGTGCTATACCGCTCCTTGGGTATGGCCAGCACCAGTGCTGAATCTGGAATTGAATGGATGGATCCTTGTTTGCTATACAGGCGGTTGCTGCATCTACAAATGTGATTCTCATAAGATGTACATGTTGACGGCCTAAGACTGGTGCCCTGGGCCGGGGATTGCACTAATTGAGCTTTAAATTGCAGACGAGACTCTTGAGTCAGGTGCCTTGTCATTTCTAAAACATTGTCAGATACGGCACCTTCCATGAAAGCGCAGCCAGTCATCAGCACCAGCGTCTGAATCACGCAATCAAAGGCAAACACGCCATAAATCCTCGGGTCGAGTCTGAACTCAGCCTGTTCACCTGTCTCGCCTGCGCCTTCGGACTTCGGCTAGGTTCTCACTGAGCCGCAGGCAACGGCATGGTGGCCACTTGCATCGCCAGGTCGTGGCTGTGGGACGGGTACCACCGCAAGTCTGAAGCACGCAAGCACGTGCGCGGTGCCCAGTCACCAACATGGGTACCAAAAACATGTCGGCTTTAAGGCTCCGGTTCTCTCTTTACCCTCGCTCTCTTTCCGTGTTTCTTTGCCTGCCTGTCTCCTCTCAGTGCATACCAAATGCATCCTGATGATCAACGCGTCCCAAGAATTTGTTTTGCCTGTCTGTTACGCATTCTTTTTCCTGGCCTTGGTCGAAGGCTCGCTGGTGCACAATGTGATGGAGCCAGAGATGGCGAAGGGTCACCACCGCCGTGACGACGATCACCACGGGGCTGGCGATGGCCATCCAGCGGAGCACCTCCACCGTCCGACTGATCTCAGCCATCCGGGGCCTTCTTGAAAACGGCCACCGGGGAAAGTTCTCCGCATCCAGCCAATTGGTGGCCTGGAGACTTTGATATTTTCGAGCGCATGGCAAATCAGAACACCCAACGAAAACTAGTGCCTTGTAAGCAAAATTGTGGTGAGGACTGGGAAACTTCCCTGGCAACACCCATCTCCTTTAGCAAGGGTTCACGTGCCAGTGGCCAGCACGTGCAAAGTGTCTCCTTTCACTTGACAATGCAAGTCGCTTGCATCAGGTCCCACATCTGCATGCATGACTCCAGAAGCAAGAAGAGGAATACGGAGTGAAAAAGTACATACCTGGAAACAAATGCGACGCAGTGCATCTGAACACATGGCTGGCTGACTGCTTTCGAGCCACGGCTGAATCAGGAGTGCCACAGGCCGAGGCAAGCAGTGGATTTTCTGCTGGCGGTCTCGGTTGTTGCAAAGCCTGGCTGGAAGGCACGAAGATAGAGAAGTGAAGAAGAGTATTAAACAAGCATGGCGCAATACAGCAAAATATGGACACGCAAAGAGAAGTAGACGGAAGCAAGAATGTGAAGAAACAGAAGTAAAGGATGTGCTTCGACATGCCTAGCGCCGGGCAGATTGAAACTGGGTTTGCGCAAGCAATAAATATCCGATAAACCACCCCCCCTAACATGTGCTCACGTGGCCAACGCCGACGACGAGCTTAGCGGGGAAACCCCGCAAGCAAGCAAGCCAACGACCCAAGAGCCCTTTCTCCTCCAAGATGCTGTCGTGACGGAAACGTTGATTTTGAGCCAAACAGCAGCAACCGAGGATAGCTCCTGAACCACCCCGCTTGCAGAACACATGGCCATTCACCCCCGCCGTAATCTGGAATCCGTCGATCTGACACAACATCCGGCTCTTTCGTAGATGATCCCGGGGGTCGCGCCGAGGTCATCTTCGTCGCGTCCGTTCAAGATCATGCGGAAGATTATCCGACAGGTAGCCCTCGTCGTCTGCCAGGCGATCACGCTCGTCAAAAGCTTCTGCGTCGATGCTCTCATTGAGCGCCTCAATGATTGAATTTGCCTTCTTGCATTTCGTTGCAGAGGGAAAGGCAAAGGCATGTTCAGGCGCAGTTAAGCCCTGGGTTGACAATAGCACGGGCACTCCGATTCTCAGCTTTTCCGCTCTGAACTGTTTCCTCCTTGCTGCGCTTGGCTTCAAGTCCGCTAGAGCTCCATCCCCGTAAGCTCACAATGTGACTCGGACCTTTCGTTGGAACCGTTGCCCTCCTCGACATTCATTAGAGCAGCGTTGGCATGAACCCAGCAGCACATTGGTAAACCCACGCGCGCAAGATTCTCCATCATCCAGTCGGTTGTGAATCTTTCGGCCAGACTCGGCAACCACAGAACATGGTTGATCTTCAGTTCCGCTCGTGCGTTGATCAGGTCAGGCGCATCGTCGGATGCGGCTTGTTTTGCCTTTCTCACCCAGCGACATGCTTTGACATTGCTGATGGCGTCAGCACTCTTCCGTCCTGTCGGGGTGCCAGTATCACGCCAGAACATGTTTCGCGAACATGTTTACCGTCGACATACTTCTCGCTCGATGCCTCGACGAGGCAACAGATAACGGACTTCTGTATCTGTGTGTCAGCAGGTGCTTCAGAGTACTTGCATCGTTCTTTAGCACGCCGGATCTTGTCTTAATGGACGCTCCTTCACACACATCTCCAGCATCAGGACCGTCCCGCCGTCTGCGCCTTCGACATCTCCTGCTGCACCGTCAACGATGTCGCCCTGCGGGTGCAACGGTGCAACAACCTGCCAAGCGCTATGGGAGGCTGGAAGCCAACGGCGTCACAAGGCGCAGCTTCAATGCGTCGCGTGAAGAACACCACCGTTTGCTCCTGAACACTGCCATCTTTTTGCATAAGCGCGGCAGCCCAGCGCGGCGCTCATTTATTGAACACCAAATCAGATGTTTTGAATTTCCACATCATCGCAAGCATTTCATGACCCTTCATGAGCTCGTGTTGCCTCTGCCGGCGTTCAGCAAAATGAGTGACATCCAAGAATGCATTTTTGGCATCGTCAGGAGCATTTCTGAGCATAGCTTGGTTGAAGTGTGATGAATCCGGAGTGACACAGCCAATCAAGAGTGGGAGAGATCTCAGATGACACAGCCAACCATGTGTGCCAGGATTCCTTTACAGGATCCGCAGAGGCTTTGCTCCTGATCCCTACCCTCAGTTCCTTTCATTACTGCTTGATTGGTTTTGGTCAGCTTCTGCTTCTCAATCTTGACCTCGTCGCAATCGCCGCGCGCCTCTTCACAAATCTTCTTCAGGTAGTCTTCTTGATCCTCAGCTCGATCCGCCGGTTGCTGCAATAAAGCGCGGCTTTGCTTTCTTCCCTTGCTCGACCTCGATCAACTTGAATGGTGGCTTCACCATTTGCGATCATCTGATCGCGCTCTTCGAAGGATCCAGCAACATCCTTGCTCGCTTCCTGATGCGTCGTGGATTGCAGATTCGTTCACTCTTGACGCGAGCGCTTCAGGATTCTCTCGGATTGGACGATGTTGGCGTTGAGGCAATACCTTCCTCAACTCACGGGCGTAGACCAGCAGCGACTTCTTCTTCTTCCTCTTGCAGCCTATCGGCCTTTGCCTTGGCATCGGGACTTGACACCATGCCTCAAGATTTGCCACCTTGCGATCAGCTTGCTCTTCGCACTCTGCCACCCTCCTTCTGTTCCCACATTTCATGTCCTGCGTGGGTCCATGAAGATATGGATCGATCTTGACTACGCCTCTGCAGCCGACTGGGCTGCCGCCATGGCGTGCAAGGCAATCACTAAAGGGTCCTCCATGGTTCCTTATCTGGAGCGTCACCAGGACAGCTCCGCTACCACGCTAAGAAACACGGCAGCTATTGGGCTCTTTTTGACATCGCTAAGGGCTGCGGCGCGCACGCACATTACTCATGGCGCTTTACAGAAAAACTCAACAGAAAAGCATAATGCAGAGAAGCAAGGAAAAATACCCAAAAAAAGAAGAGAGCAGTACCGAGAAGCCAGGAACAGTATGGAAGAGCATGCCAAATATTGAGCAGTATAGAGCTAAGCAAGGAGAAGTATGAAAGAGTATTGAGAAGCAGAATTAAGAGAAGTGACATGATCCGGACAAACTCCCCGGCCTCCGGTGGAGATGGTGGGCCAGGAAGACCAGCACTAGCCGTGCTCTCATCATAAGCCAAGCTAATCAGATTCAGAGCCGGCGCAATCAAAACGACACTTGCTGCAAACAACAGCAAAACAGCGATATGAAAAATGGAAACAAGGCAGGAAAAAGATTGAAACAAGAAAGCAAGAAATGGAACAATTGCAAGGAAGTCGCACGCTGCAACCTACAAGCTACAATCGAAACATCGCAGAATGTTTTCGCTCGTGAGACATGCCCACATCTTGAACCTATTCTCAGCCCTTGGAGAAGGCTGCCACCGCCAGAAGTACGCATAGCATCCTTGGGCTCAGCCCAAGACTTCGCAAAGAAAAAACTAAACAAACCGACGAGCGGCTGCCACGCAAAGTGACTTAGCACGCCGATGAGGTAGTACCTGGCAAGCCAACCGCAAGCAACCCTACGGGCTCCACAGACTCGGCAAGAGACTCGCCGAGCGACTCGGCGAGCGACTCGGCGGGCGACTCGAAGGGAGACGAGCGATTCGGCGGGCAACTCGGCAAGACACTCAAGAAGAGACTCGGCAACAAACTCGGCAAGAGACTCGGCAAGAGACTCGGCAAGGGGCTCGGCAAGACACTCGGCAAGAGACTCAACAAGAGATTCGGTAAGAGACTCGACAAGAGACTCGACAAGAGACTCAGCAAGAGATTCGGTAATAGACTCGGCAAGAGACTCGGCAAGAGACTCGGCAAGAGACTCAACAAGAGACTCGGCAAGAGACTCGGCAAGAGACTCAACGAGAGACTCGACAAGACTCAACAAAAGACTTGACAAGAGACTGAACCAGAGGCTCCACAAAACACTCGGCAAGAGACTCGCCAAAAGACTCAACAACAGACTCCGCAAGAGACTCAACAAGAGATTCGGTAATAACTCGGCAAGAAAGAGACTCAATAAGAGACTAGGCAAGAGGCTCGGCAAGAGACTTGGCAAGAGACTCAACAAGAGATTCGGTAAGAGACTCGGCAAGAGACTCGACAAGAGAGAGAGAGAGACTCGGCAAGAGACTCGGCAAGAGACTCGGCAAAAGACTCGGAAAGAGCCAAGAGACTTAACGAAAGACTCGGCAAGAAACTCGGCAAGAGAATCAACAAAGAGAGACTCGGCAAGAGACTCAACAAGAGCGGCAAGAGACTCAACGAGTGACTGGGCAAGAGACTCAACAAGAGACTCAGCAGGAGACTCAACGAGAGACTTGGCGCGAAACTCTTCAAGAGACTCTGCAAGTGACGCGGCAAGAGACTCGGCAAGCGACTCTGCGAGAGACTCAACAAGAGACTCAGCAAGAGACTCAACAAGAGAGTCGACAAGACTCAACAAAAGACTTGACAAGAGACTGAACCAGAGGCTCTACAAAACACTCGGCAAGAGACTCGGCAAGAGACTCAACAAGAGACTTTGCAAGAGACTCGGCAAGAGACTTGGCAAGATACGCAACGAGAGGCTCGCCAAGAGACTCAACAAAAGACCCGGCAAGAGACTCAACAAGGGACACGGCAAGCGACTCAACAAGAGACTCGGCAAGAGACTCGGCAAGAGACTCGGCAAGAGACTCGGCAAGACACTCGGCAAAAGACTCGGCACTTGTAGCCGTCGTTCCGGAAGGAATCCATTTCAGCCGTGGCATCCTGAACCCAGTAGAAGAAGACCGGGTGTTTGGCCTGCGGCTACTGCTCACGCTGCTCACATGGCTCACAAGCACTGGCAGCCCTGGCCTTGAGGCTATACGCTGCTTCTGCCTGAGTTAAGTGGGATAGAAAGCCTGTAGCCGCAACTCAATGCCACAAAAAACGCATGGAAAACTCGGAAAGGCAGTTAAACGAGGGTTGAGTTTGTTCGCAATTCCTCAAGCGGCGCTTGCCTGTTCGACTGCGAGGCGAAAGAAACTCCGCTGCTCATCATCCAGCACTCGAAGCCCACTGTGCGCGTTCGGGTTGTCATACTCACCTCAGCTCACCCGAGCCAAAAGCTCATTCGACTAGCCTTTGCGCAGCCATGTTCACAACCGCACAATCTTCAACACAATCCGCCGGCACTGCCGGCGTGTCTTGTGGATGTTCTTGTATGTGTAGTCTTGTTTGTGTTTCAGTGCTGTGTTGCACTGACGTCAGCCCCCCCTTCCCCCCCCCCACCCCTCCCCAAAAAAATGGAGAAAAGGGGGGGCCCGGGGGGTGGCCTGTTGATGGTCCCCTGTTCTGGTTTTTATGTTAATCTCAAATCTGTGTTCCCCCTTATTCGTTTTTAAAAGGGGTGTTTTGGGGAGCTCATTTATCGTTTTCGTTAAGGTAATCATTTGGGAAAAAAGTCGCCTTGTTCATTGTTGGGCTGGGGGCCGACATTCTTTTCATTTGAAAGAGTTAACCAACCCTCTTAGTAGTTATCAAGTTCTGGGGTGTTGGTGGTGTGTTTGTTTTGTTAGTGTTTTCTCAGTAATTTTCATTTATAGGTTAAAAGTTCAGTATAATTATAACGTATAAGATTTTACATGTTATTATTATATTATGACTATAATTTCAGTTCAGGATACTAATTTAATTGATTATTCTTACTTCTTTCATACATCATTTTCAAATAATATTAATATCTCTCACTGTGTTTTGAACATTAAACTTTTCACTTTCAATAAATATTTTGATATTTTCTTTAACATCTTCTCCTTTCTTTTGGCTATAACCCAACATCCATAATATATCATCAATCATTTCATATTTTGCTTACTGATTTTAAGAAACTGTTTAACATAATCGTAAGGTGGTATTGTATTTACAATTAGAAATATTAAAATCTCAGCTTCTACATTTCTATTATGTATTCTTTTTATTCCCAACAGGCATTTGATTAAAAAATTGATTATCTCTCCAATTTTTATAATTTTTACATATGTCTTCTTCACCATCCATTGAATAGTTAATAATATTATTCACTATTTCATTAGGTAAATTCAATTTATACAATTCCAAACTTTCTTTTTTGAAGTGACAACAATCATAGCATTTTTTATTGGTATTATTATTGATTTCATCACCGTTCATTTTCCACTTAATATATAAGGTAATATTTCTTTCAGTAGTTTTGGCTAGGGGTTGCTGGTCGGCTGGTCTGGGTTTCAGGTTTAATTTAAATCTCTTAGCCTTCTTGTTAGATTATAAAACAATGTTTAATCATACTATAATTAGATATTACGATTAAACCATGAAATCATTGTTTCTGTTATGTAAAAATTTCAAATGCAATATGTTCTATAGTAATGATTTTGTTTCGTTTCATAGTCTGTTTTATTTCTTCAACTATTTTTTCAATAAAAAATTGTAATGACGCTCTACTTGATATCTTATTCTGTTTAGATGATGAATAAGAACGACAGTTGCAAATATTATTATTATACATAATTTTCGAACTAACTTCTATTCCAACCTTTATTTCTTCATCATACTTCATCATTCTTAATAATTCTTTTGGTGGTTTCAACACATATGAAAGCGCTTTATCACCTTTCAAACATTTATTGCTAATCAACGCAAAATATATACTTTCTCCTACTCGTCCAGTGTAAATAAACGGTTTCCATTTCCTTTGTAAGACCCTTAATGCTTTACACTGTTTTAGTCTTTGCCACCCTTCATTGCCAATCATATAAGAAGCGATGTTTAACAATGTTTCCACAGGTAAGCTAGCACAATTCTCAACCATAAAATTATTCTCTGACATTTTACCCTCACTCATTTTTCTCTTCATATATAAGGCTTTTTCTTTAAGTAGTTTTATGGGCGGGGGTTACTGGTCGGCTGGCCTGGGTTTCAGGTTTAGTTCAAATGTCTTAACCTTCTTGTTAGGTTATAAAAACTAGGTTTAATCATGTTATAATTGAATAATATCATTAAACTAAATCACTCATGCTTTCCATCCACCTATTCCATCCCACCAGAATTCAATAATTCGCATCTGACCATCTACTAGACTGTCTTCTTTGTTTTGTTTCCGTATCGCTCCTGATAAGATATAGTGGTTAATAATCATTGCTTTAAACTTTCCATCTCGGTTTAACTTCTTACCACAGTCTTTTATGATGTCTTCATCTGTTAGGTTTTCATACATTTCTTTCATGATGTCAAACCTAACAAATGAGTATATTGCCATCAAGTTTAATCCGCTATTATCCCTAAACCTGTTAATGACAGCGTTCCAGAATTCTTCGTTTTCATCAACCGGTGGCAAAGGGTGTCTTTTGATGAAATCCTTTATTTTGTTTAACTTTTCTTCCAATTCCTTTCTATAACTGTCATTATCATCATCTTCTTCGTCTGATAGCGTCCAGTTTGATAAGTCAGCAATCACTCCGACATTTTCTAAATTCAAGTCCTCTAATCTTATTCCAGCCATATTTTCACTTAATATAATAAGTTAATACTTCTTTAAGTAGTTTTTATTTTATGTTAAGGGGCGGGGTTTATGTTGGTAAAAAATTATTATCTAACAATTTAATATAACGGCGGGATTAACAAAAGACCAAGTAGTCAGCAACATCTATTACGACTTAGACGAGGGTTTCGGAAGCAGACAAGCGACACACAAGAAGGCAAAGGAAGAAGACCCAACAATAACATTAGACGATGTAAAGTCTTTCTTAAAGAAACAACCAAATAAACAAATCAAAAATTATAGAGGTACTAATTCCTATACCGCTCCATTCGCACGATTTGAATATCGAATAGGCATAATGCATATGTCACCTTTAGCAAAAGACAAGAACGTTCCACAGTATGCTTTAGTCGTGATTGACATCTTCAGTAAATTAGCAGATGTAATACCAATGGAGGAAAGAGACGGAGAGCACGTTTTGAAGGCGATGAGAGCAAGAAAAAAATAGGGTTATCCGATGTCCGTGCATTCTGATGACGATGGCGCGTTTGCAACTAAAAATCAAGTTCAGGATTTCTTCAACAGTGAAGGAATAAACCACATCGTCACGAAGACCCACGCAAATGTGGCCGAGCGTTTTATTAGAACGATGAAAAACAAAATTCACGAGAGAGTTAGGTTTAACAACATGAAATGGACCGACGCCCTAACGCCAGCATTGAAACAGTATAACAGCACATCACACTCATCAACAAGGATGACACCGTCCGAAGCACACAAGGACGACAATGAAATACATGTAAAGGTCAATCTTAAACGACGAGAAAAAAACAAAAGAAAGTATCCCAGAATAGAGGAGAACGACAAGGTAAAAGTGTTCCAAAAGAAAAGGGGTAATTACACCGACAGAAAGGAGTATAACTCTAAATGGTCTAATAAAATATTCAATGTTGATAAAATTGAATATGATATTATGCGTAATAAAACTTACAAAGTAGCAGGAATAAACAAACCGCTTTTGAGACACGAAACTTTGTTAGTTAATGATTAAACGTATTTCTTGGTGTCTTCTTTATACTTGACTTGATAGCAATCCAGACTTGATTGTTTAGGTTCTTTTATGACTTTTTCATTCAGTTGTTTAACATAAATGTTTCGTATATTTTTGTATTCGCTACTGTCTCTATCTACTTCTTTGCTTGATAATTGTTATTGTTATTATATGTGGGTTCAATTTTCATGCTCTTTAAGATTTTCAGTATGTTTTCATTTTGCTCCAACACTTTTTCTAATCTTGGAAACAACAACTCTAAACTACTGTCAATGTTCGCTAAATGTTCTTCCATATATATACTAAATTATAATACTAAACTTTTAAAACTAAATGTTGCAATCATGTTAAATCTACTCTTTAAATACTATTTTTTCATCATTTCACGTATAGTTTCCTGTGTTTCCTTATCACCATTATCGGATGGACTAACAGCTTCTGCAAGGCAAAAGTTTCCCGCAGAAACTAGCAATTCGCATGTCAGTCAGGCGCGTGGGCTTCAGAATGGGCTGAGCGTGTGTAACTTTGCCACTTGGTTCCAGGTGAGCGGCAATGAGCACTCCCAAAGCGTATAGCAATATTATGAACATCTGTTTCTAAGTTGATACTGTGTTTAGTTTTATCAATATTATTCATTTTCTTATCATTCTTACTTATTTTGAAACTTGTTGGAATACACGAACATTTACAGTTTCCTTTCTTTTGTATTTCTAATTCATTCTTCATCTCTAACATCTTTTTACACATTGGACAAGCAAACTCAATAACTGATGTTTCTTTAACAATTTCTTCTTTTTCTTCATCAGTTGAAGAAACAACTGGTTCAGTCTTATTCTTTTTCTTTCTTCCCATCTATATTAATATTTATACTTTTAATATATTGTATCACAAGCTTAATTAATTCTAATGAATAATAACAGCATTTTTTGGTTTTATTATCAGTTATAACAACTTGTTCTATATTTTCTACTTTATCTATTGTATCAATATAATCTGAATAACTTCTATTCATAAAAAATAAATATAGAATATTTTCTAAATAATTTTATATTATTTTATTCTGTCAGATGTCCCAATAATAAAACCAATAAACATAACTGATTACGATTTCAAACAATCTAAATATGAACACGTGCCAAAACTCCCATTCCGCTCCATCGTTGTAGCATCATCAACCGGTGGTAAAACAGTTTTAATCCGAAACCTTATCCTAAATGTTTATAGGGACTGCTTCGCCCGTATATTCATTTTTAGCCCGTCAGTTCATAACGACCCTACCTTTGTTGAAGTCAAGAAATACCAAAAAGATCATATGAAGGTTGATGATGAAAAAGAAAAGTTATATTATGACACCTACCAACCTGAAGAACTGGAAGAAATAGTTAACACACAAAGAAAGATAATTCATTATATGAAAGAACAGAAAATAAAGAAACTACATTCAATTTTAATAATTGTTGATGATTTTGCAGACGACCCTAAATTTGTTAGATATAGTAAGTTACTTCATGGACTGGCAACGAGAGGTAGACACGAT